GGGCTGGAGGCCCTGGAACTGGTGCTGTCGACCCTGGCGTTGGAGACCCTGGGGCTGGAGGTGCCGGTTCTGGGGGTACTGCTGCTGGAGGCCCTGGCACTGGTCCTATCGACCCTGGAGTTGGGGACCTTGAGGCTGGAGGTGCCGGTTTTGGGGGTGCTGCTACTGGTGGCGCTGGAGGTGGAGGTTCTGGAGCTGCTGGAGGCGCTGGAGCTGGAGGTACTACTGCTGGAGTCCCTGGAGCTGGAGGTGCTGCTGCTGGAGGCGCTGGAATTGGAGGTGCTGCTGCTGGAGTCGCTGGAGCTGGAGGTTGTGGAGCTGATGGAGGCGCTAAAGCTGCTGGAGGCGATGGAGCTGGAGGTGTTGCTGCTGGATTCACTGGAGCTGGAGGTGCTGCCGCTGAAGGCACTGGAGCTGGAGGTTCTTGAGCTGCTCGAGGCGCTGGAGCTACTGTTACTGGTGGCACTGCACCGTCGCGACTGTTTTTCGCTCCGCCGTCACCGTCGTCTCTGCCACCGCCTGACTCCGTGCTTCGCCAGGTTCTTAGCCTCCCGTCTTCCACTGGCCTCCCGTTACACCCCAGCGCACCAGTGCTTGCTCCTTCTCCTTACACTGAGTCGACAGACTCGCTTACAGAGCGTCGTGAGCTTGCGTCTCGTCCTGCCTCGCCTGTTCGCGGAGGTCACACTGGTCGTCGTGTTCCTTGTGAGCGTCCGCCTCCTGTCCTTGGCACGCACGCTATGGCACTTCGTCCTTCCTCTGTTCCACAGCGTGTTCCCCTACCGTCTCCTCCTGCGTCTTCTCTGCCTGACGTTCCGGACCCTGAGTCTGACCTGGTTCGTGCTGCTCACCCTACTGTCACGCGTCTGCGCGCCACTGTTGTCACTGACCCGTCGTTTTGAGTCCGCCGTAGTCTCTGAGCTTGTTGACTTCACTGCTGCCTGTTGTCTAGACTACGCTGCTAATCATGTTGCTGAGTCTGAGTCTGTCTGTCCTCCGTGCGTCGGGGGTGAGTGTACTCTTGGCACAGACGTCCTTGAGGACAGGCAGGAGGACTTCGAGTGTCTTGCAGCCGATGCGCCTCATCTCGTGGCCATGCTGCTTGCCCCTTAGGGAGACCCGGATGCTCCAGACATCCCGACTCCGCGTTCTTACGCTGAGGCGATCGCGGGTCCCTACTCCTCTCAATGGCAGACAGCCATGGACGCAAAGATGGCATTCTGGAAGTCCACAGGCACTTACGTCAATGAGGTTCCCCCTCCTGGGGCGAACATCGTCGATGGCATGTGGATTTTCAGGGTGAAGCGGCCGCCGGGTTCTCCGCCTGTCTTCAAGGCTCGTTACGTTGCACGAGGCTTCAGTCAACGACAAGGAGTTGACTTCTTCCAGACCTTCTCCCCCACCCCAAAGATGACCACTCTTCGGGTGCTGCTGCACGTTGCCGTTCAGCGTGAATACAAGCTTCACTCTCTGGACTTCACCACAACGTTCTTATAGGGCAGCCTGCACGAGGAGATCTGGCTGCGCCGCCCACCTAGCTACACTGGGTCGTTCCCTTCTGGTACCCAGTGGAGCCTCGGTCGGCCAGTCTACTTTCTCCGTCAGGTGCCTCGTGAGTGGCACGACATACTGAGGACGACATTTGCGGCTCTTGGGTTTGCCCCTTCCACTGCTGACCCATCGCTGTTTCTACGCACCGACACTTCACTGCCGCCGTTCTACATCCTTGTGTATGTCGATGACTTGGTCTTTGCCACTGCTGACACTGAGGCTCTCGCCCTTGTGAAGTCAAAGTTGCAGAAGAGACACACGTGCACAGACCTGGGTGAGCTGCGCAAATACTTTCGCTTGCAGATCACCCGGGACAAAGCACGCCGCACCATCACCCTGACTCAGTCACACATGGTGCAGCAGGTCCTTCAGTGCCTCGGCTTCACTTGGTCCTCGCCACAGTCCACTCCTCTGGCCACAGGTCACTCGCTCTCAGCTCCACCTTCGGACGAGTTCGTAGAGCCGAGTGGCCCGTACCCAGAGCTAGTGGGTTGCCTCATGTACTTGATGACCTGCACTCGTCCTGACCTTGCGTACCCTCTTGGCCTTCTGGCACGTTACGTGGCTCCTGGTAGGCACCGAAAGGTGCACATGGATGCTGCGAAGAGGGTACTGCACTACTTGTGCAGTACATCGGGCATGGGGATCGTGCTTGGAGGGCGAAGCTCAGTTGTCCTCACTAGACACTCAGACGCTTCTTGGGTTGACGACCTGGCTACGCAGCGGTCGTCACAGTGTTACACTTTCAGCCTTGGCTGCGGCTCTGTTTCTTGGCAGTCTACCCGCTCGTCTTTTGTTCTCAGCTCCAATTTTGAGGCTGAGATCTACGCTACAGCCATGGCTGCACAGGAGTTACGCGGGCTCACCTACCTGTTGACTCACTTGGGAGAGCGGCCTCGTTCTACTCCGGTTCTGTACGTAGACAACAAGGTCGTCATTTCTCTGTGTCTGGAGCATAGACAGGAGCACAGAACGAAGCACATCGCTCTTCGTTACTTCCTTGCTCGAGAGTTGCAGCAGCGTGGTCAGCTTCGTCTTCACTCGGGTCAACAATGCTGATATATTCACCAAAGCGCTTCCATTTGGTGATCATCAGCGCTTCTGTACCTTGTTAGGCCTTGTGCCTATTTCGTCTCACTTGCTCACTTCGTGACTTTGTTTGTACTGTGATCTATATATATACCTGCATGCTTGCTCTTGCTAGGTAGTGATCATTGTAGTGTTGTTGTTGCATATATGCCTCTGCATGTGACCTCGGCTTGTGGCCCTTTGCTTGTGCTCGAGTGTGTGAAGACATTGTGATCCACCCCGAGCTTGTTTTGCTTTTCTTGACTGGTCTTGTGACCCCTTGTTCTCCCCCACTTTGCCTATGGGGGTGTGTCAAACCCAAAGTTAGGCTATAGTGGGGTAGCCCATATGGGGTACAACCCAAAGTTAGGGTTAGTACTTGTACCCACATTTCATTCAATGCAATCATTCCTGCTTGCTATCTTGACAGTGCTGGTGGAGCTGGCACTGCCAGTCCCGGAGGTTCTCGTACTGGAGGTGCTGGAGCTACTGGTCCTAGAGACCCTGGAGCTGGAGGCACTGGGGCTGGCGGCCCTGAAGCTGGAGTTGCTGGTCCTGGAGGTGCTAGTACTGGAGGTACTAGAGCTGCTGGAGCTGGTGGTGCTGGTGGTGCTGGAGCTGCTTGTCCCGGAGGTGCTCGTACTGGAGGTACTGGAGCTGCTGGAGTTGGTGGTGCTGCTGGTGCTGGAGGTACTGGAGGTACTGGAGCTGCTGGTGTTGTGGGCTCTGGAGCTGGGGCCACTAGAGTTGGAGGCGCTTGGGCTGGAGGCGCTGGCGCTAGAGGCGCTGGAGTTGGAGGTTCTGGAGCTGCTGGAGGCGCTGGGGCTGGTGGTACTCGTACTGGAGGTGCTGGAGCTGGTGGTCGTGGTGCTGGTGGTACTACACAGCAGCGACTGTTCTTCGCTCCGTCGTCTCTGCCACTGCCTGACTCGGTGCTTCGCCAGGTTCTTAGCCTCCCGTTACAGTCAGGCTCCTTACCCTGAGCAGACAGACTCGTTTACAGAGTGTCGTGAGCCTGCCTCTCGTCCTGCCTCGCCTGTTCCCGCTGTTCGCACTGGTTGTCGTGTTCCTCGTGAGCGTCCTCCTCCTGTCCCCGGGACGCACACTATGGCACTTCGTCCTTCCTCTGTTCCACTGCGTGTCCCTCTGCCGTCTCCTCCTGCGTCCTCTTTTGCTGATGGTCCGGACCTTGAGTCTGACTTAGTTCGTGCTGCCAGCCCTACTGTCACACGTCTCCTAACCACTGTTGTCACTGACACTTTTTTTTAGCCCACTGCTGCGTCTGCCCTAGTTACTGAGCGTGCTGACTTTGCTGTTCGCTGTCGTCTCGACTACGCCGCTATTCTTGTTTCTGAGTCTGAGTCTGATTGTCCTACGTCTGTTTGAGTCTGGTCGCTGGTCGCACGCGGCGTCCGCGCTGGCGAATGGCGAGGCGCTGGGCGGGCTGCGCAACGGACGGGCAGGGCGCAGGGGGGGCGTGACGAACGTGCAGGGTGGAGCGGGGGCGTGACGGACGGGCAGGGCGCACAGGGCGCGTGCGTCGGACGGGGCGCAGCGGGGGCGCGATAGATGGGGAGGGCGCAGCGGGGGCGCGATGGACGAGCAGGGCGCACGGGGCGCAACGGACGGGCAGGGCCTATGGGACGCATGCGGGGAAAACGGGCTGCACGCGGGAAAAACGGGTTGCGCGCGGGGTAAAACGAGTTGCGCGCGGGGCGCATTCGACTGCGCGACGAAAAGGTCCATGTCTCTTACAAGGACAGGAAGGTTCCAGGATGGAACCAGCTCTGACACCATGTCAAAAGAGGAAGCTAGGCCTTGGGAGACTTAGGAGCCATAGCTAGGCAATCAAGGTAAGGGAGAAGAGACAGTTGGCCAACAAAAGAGGTGTTGCACTATAGGGTTCGGAGTACATATAGGCAAGAAGCAAAGGATGCACCGCCAACAGTTTATAACAATAACTACAGTAACTACAGTGAGCAGGATATATAACTGAAATATAACTTTGACACTGGATTGCAGAATCAGGTTGGAAACATACTCACCTCCCCTTGTACAACAGTGATGTGTGTGAACACTATAACAAGGCGATCTGCATCCTTCAAAATCTGAACCACCTTTCAGAAGCCTTCCCAATAATCAGAATGTCCATACCGTATAACTGGGTTGGTTGCAGTCACAGCTCGTGGTCCATGTACTGACCAGTCTTCACACTGGACAAACTGGAGAAATGGTAGTAATAATTGATATGGCTGTAATGCATTGACGAATACAGGACTAAGGCCCTGATGAATCCCAAATCATGTCATTCACGAATACAGGACTTAGGCCCTGATGAATCCCAAATCATGTCATTACCCACAAAAAACATTACATACTATTTACTTCTCAGCAAGGTACTTCTCCAGCTTCTCAACCTCATCCGGGCTGCCCACAAAAAGCGGCACTCTTTGGTGGACCTGTTCGGGCATGATGTCCATCACGCGGCGGAAACCATCCGAGCCCTTTCCGCCCGCCTGCTCCGCCAGGAAGCTCATGGGCGCGCACTCGTACAGCAGGCGCAGCTTGCCGTTGGCGTTCTTGCTGTCGGGGGGGTAGCCGTAGATGCCTCCGTAGAGCAGCGTGCGGTGGAAGTCACCCACCAGGGAGCCGATGTAGCGCGCCGAGTAGGGCTTTCCGGAGCTGGCGTCCTGATGTGCGATTAAGGGAATGATTGGAAGACGACACGTGAGATACCAGATTGGGTAGTTAGACTGTTGGACTCGTACTCAGGTAGTGAGAGACTACCGAGACAGGTATTGAGGGCATACAATTTCTGCGAAGCAGCAAGTGACGCTCACAGACGAAATTCCACATTCCAAGACGGAGAGAACCCCGCAGTCGTGACATTGGATAACCATCACACAAATAACTCCGAGCCCCGTAATGACCCATACTGACTCCCAAGGACCCCATCCAAACGCCTCACGACGAAGCAACGGTCGGAATATCTCACCTTGAGGCTGTCGATGTACTTCTTCAGCTGGGGGGTCCACATGTCGTAGTTGCCCTCGTTGAAAGAGTAGATCTTGCCGGACTTGGGAATCTTAATGTCGGCGTGGGTCAGCACGAACTCGCCGTACATGGGGTCCAGGGTGAACCCGAACACGCCAGTGCCGATGGTGAGCACCAGGATGGTGGACGACGAGTACATGCAGTAGCCAGCGGCGAGAAGGTTCTTGCCAGGCTGGCACACGTTGGTGACGCATGTGGCTTGAATCTGGTCAAGCTGTTCAATGGAATAAAAGAAGGAAATACAAAAACTGTTATGAAGCAGCAACACAAACGCATACACAATGTCATGCCTTACGAGCCAACATCGCGCCCCCCGTTGCAAACGAACGTTAAAAAGAAAGACAAAGAGGAAATAGGAACATTCATCATTACTGGTCAAAGGCTGAGCACTAACCGTGGCATCCTCCTCGAGGTCGATGAGGCAGCCGCCCTCAGGCTCACGGTAGATGCCGAAGATGGAGCCAGTCGACACAGCAGCGTCGATGTTGGACGAGCCATCAAGCGGGTCGAACACGACGATGTAGTTGCCGGAGTAAGACTCCTCGACGGCGATGGGGGTGTCCTCCTCCTCCGACGCAATGATTCCGGTGCGGCCGCTGGCACGCAGGCAGTGGGCGAAGACCTGCGATGTTAGAGAGAGAAAACAAACAAAAAGGATAAAAAGTTAGGGTGATGGCAGGGACAAATAAAAGCACGATAGGGTGATGGCAGGGAAAAAGCAGGCACAATCTTAACATCTTACTACCCGAAAGGGAGAAGTTTCCATAATTTCTGCTGATTCTAGCTTTTCACATTGTCTCCCTGAAAGCATTTTGGTGCGGATGGGAAATGAGATACGACGGAAGAGAGGCTCACCTCGTTAGACACGACGTCCAGCTTTTTCTGATCCTCTCCCTGAACGTTCTGCGCGCCCTGCACGCCAGTAAGGTTGGAGATACCGGCGCGGGTGACAAGGCTAGCAATCTGCTTGCAGGCGAGGGAGATGGAGGACAGAACAATGGTCATCTCGTTATCGATCACCCCAGCCTGCTCCTGCAGCAGCAGCCAGTTGGTGAACGCCTGGATAGCATACTGGTTGCTAGTCTTAGGAGCGGCCTTGGCCTCCGCGGACACTGCAGCGGACGCCTTGGCGTTAGCGGCAGCAATGATTTGGTTGCGGCGCGCCTGCTTGCTCTTGGAGAAAGTGGGAGCGACAACCTTGATGCCAGTCAAGGAGGCGGACGAGGAGAGCGCCTTAGGCTGGCTCGAGCACAGCGAGGAGGTCAGGGCCGCAGGGGCCGCGGCCTGAGCAAGAGCGGTAGCAGCCATGGTGGATAGGCCTGAGAGGGTTATGACTAACTGGCACCTTCTTAAGCCAGTACTCCGCGGTCTATCTGAGCTGTTAGTCGAGAGACTAAAGCTCTCAGGCCGAGGAACGGGAATGCGAGGTACAGCGAACAAGGAGCACAACAGATGTTTATCTAAACTGGATAGGGAGAGGGATGCTTTGCGGAGGACACGGGCAAAGCGCATGAGCGATGGGAGGCCGAGCAGCCAGAGGCGGAGTCGCAACGAGATGACTCCTAGGTGCGCGGGGCGCTAGTTTCGAAGTAAGTGCGGGTACCTCCATAATGGATGTGCCTATGCCAGCCGGAGAACCCTGCCAGCATCAAAGGCTGTGTGAGGCTGGGTGAAGAGGGATAACCGGCTGTGCCACGTGTGAGGTGGTGGTGGCTTGAGATTGTCCCGCGACGAGGGGAGGGAAGCGGAAAGAAGGAGGCGGGAACCGCAGCGGGAGCGTGAGCGGAAAGCGAAAGTAGTGGAGCAGGCGGAAGTGGTGAAAGCCACGTATAATGGGGTGTAGTACGGGTCCATGTAGGCATAGATATTGCCACGTGGCATCTTCTTAGGGTGATGTGGAAGCCAGCATCTCTTTTGCTGTGTCAACACTTGAGGCGGAAAAGCAGCGGGCAGATGGGAAAGTGCCCTATGTGAGGGAAATTCGCACAAGCATAGCATATGGTGGCAGAGGGGATGCCCTTCGTGAGGTCCACGAGGGTCAGACTGATGAGCCAAAAGCTTTTAGGTGGATTGACTGAACATCATCTGCTCCAGATTTCGAGGCTATCCTTGCCATGTCAGTGCCACCCAAAGCTCAAAAGCCTTCACCACCCATTACCAAAGACAATACCCTATATTAGCAACCTCTATGCAAACAGAGAGGAAATGGCAAATTATCTAATGCACAAATATGATTACGATAACAAAGCTGCTAATAGATGATCCAGAATAAAGATATATTTAGACGTCATTTAAATAAATTAAATATTTTCATTAATAAAACCAAAAACATAACTTTAATTCGTTATTTGAAGAATTTCCTCCTGCAATATAGTAATGTGAATGCCACAACATGCTAATGATACACATAGAAAATCAACTAGTGGACATATTTGTGCGTACAGTCGGAGACCCCTCAAAGGGAGGTTTTCCCAGCTTGGGCTCCTTGCCTTCGTGGCGCTTGAAGATAAGTCAGTCCCAAGAAAACCGAAGGAGAGCCACGTGGCTGCACGCTCAAGTGCCGATTCCAGATTGCTGTGGATGTTCTCCAGCTGGAGAGGTATCCATCCTCCCTCCCAATTACCCACCGCCCGCCAGGTTCACGATGTGCCCTCCAGGCCCCATTGCTGTGCACTGCTCTGCTTTCCCAAGGGTGAGGTGAGGTGACGAGCCCTAGAGGAAATCCCTTAGCCCCTCGGATTTTGCGCGAATCGCGTGACTCGGCAATTCCCAACCAATCCGCGCTGGCTGCGGATTCTCCCCCATCGTCCAGCCATCCCCCCTGCGCCCGTACACTTCACCTCCATCACTCGACTCGAGTCAATGGATGAGTTGGGGGAAGGGGAAGGGGAATGGGGGGAAAGGATAAGCGGGAGAATGTTCCCCCTTCCCCCGCCCCCCTCCACATTCTAAAAAACCTTCGAAGATTTGCCATCATTCCTAACTTTGCAAGAATTTTGTGTCGCCGAATCTCTAGGATTCACGGCGAGGAGCAGCGGCTTCTACTTGGTTTGAAATTTGTCTCTGCGCTGCGGAGTCACACCCATGGCTGCCGTTAGCTCCACAATGTCACGCATTGCCGTGACGGACGGCCTCGTCCGCACCGCCACTGTGTCCAGCACCACCCAGGCGAACTCCCTCCGTTCCTTCGTCTGCGCCAAGCCTGCTTCCGGTTCCCGCCGATCACTGTCAATCAGGGCTGCCGCTGAAGTGCAGAGCGCGTCTGCTGACTCCGATAGCATCTCCGCGGAAGTCGCGGCTCTGCCTGAAGCTGGCGACACCGTCGGCGTTCAGCCGAAGAAGAGGGTCTCCCCTCTCGAGAAGGGAGGTACTCTTAGCGGCAAGGATGCTGCAGGCAAGGATCCCAGCCTTGCGACACTCGGCAAGCTGAGCGCGGCTATGGCCGGCGAGAAGTTCGCTGATCCACGGTGGAAGAACGGCACGTGGGACATTTCGCAGTTCACCGTTGACGGCAAGGTCGACTGGGACGCCGTCATTGATGCTGGTAAACACATCATCTTCACATCCAGCTCGTGTCGTCTCATGATGCGTTTTCATCCCTGTTGAGTGAATTTCTGTGGCTCTGGTGTTTGATTCAACTTACCGTTTTTGTATTCATCTCAACATCCTCTATCCACATCATGGAGGGATGACGGGTTCCCTGCTGCGTATGTGTACCTATGGTTCCTCATATCCACCGAATCGTTCTCCGCCGATTTCTTTTTGCTAGTAACCGTTGCGCTCTCGTGTCTGCTGGCTTCTCCATTGCTGTCGTTCCAGCATTCTGTACGTAGCACAAGGCTAAGTAGTATCTGACATCGAAACCAAAACTCCACTATTATTGTTCCTGGTGGTTGATTTTCCAACGGTCTGTGCAATTCGTGTTCCTCAACCCTCTAATCACGTTCTACCGTTTTCTTTTTGTAGAGGTCGCGAGGAGGCAGTGGCTCGAGATTAACCCCCAGTCTTCGAACAATGACGATCCCGTGGTCTTCGACACCTCTCAAGTCCCCTGGTGGGCGTGGGTCCGCCGCTTCCATCTCCCCGAGGCTGAGAAGCTCAATGGTAAGCAGACTAATACAGCTTTTTTTATGCGTTTTTTTTTTGTAGCGCAAGTCCCATAGCACAGCTCTACCGAAATCATATTTGACTAAGCCTCGGACAACGAACACCAATAATGCGTCTTCGTACGGTGCACGTGTTTCGCTCAGCATGAAACGCCACACTGCTCGTTCTTAATTATCGCGTTCGCACATTCTCGCTTGGTTTTTCTCACCCTAGTAATTGATGTCGTTCGCGACGTATGTCATAAGCTTCCTTGCTCTTATGCCGTTCCTTCTAGTTGCCGCACGTACATCTCTCTCTCTCCCTCACAGGCCGTGCTGCCATGGTTGGGTACTTCATGGGCTATCTCGTTGACTCCGCGACTGGTGCTGGCCTAGTGGATCAGACCTCTGGTTTCCTCGGCAAGCTGCTGCTCTTCATCACTGTCGTTGGTGTCCTGTTGATTCGGAAGAACGAGGATGTCCAGGAGATTAAGAACGCTGCAGAGGAATGGACCTTCTATGACAAGCAATGGCAAGCAGCGTGGAAGGAAGGACCACCTCCCGCAAACAAGGAGACGGAGGAGTAGACTCACCGTCTGCTGCTACGCCCGTATCCTGGTGCCTGATTCTGCTGAGGAATTAATGCTGTGTCGAAGGACACCAATTTTTGGCGGTGCCATGATTTCTTGCAGGTTCAGGTGATCTATTTTTTATTTCTCATGTTGGATATTGTTAAACCAAAAAGTTCCGTTGTAGCATCGGACATGTGAGCAAGCCTATCTCGAGCTTTGTCACTATCGAATGATCAACTGCTCCGCTGGATCATGACCATTCAATGTTCTATTGATAATGTACAGTGTCATCATGACGGAGGAGACATGAACTTCATCTTCTAGTTTGCCTTCAACCTCTGGTATCACCAACGCCTGCCTATGTGCGTCCCAATCAACCCCCTGTGCTGTGGCAGACCTTTAGGTGCAGGTGCCCCTTAAACGACCATCCCAGCATGGGGTATGTGAATGTATGTGCTACTTCAAGTTCTTGAGAGCGTGTAAAATTGTATCGATTGAACCAATTTTCCGGGTGGAATGTCATATTTCTCTAGTGGGTTGGGGTACATATTCCTAGGCTACAACACTGCAGTGGGCTACTCCATTACGACTAGAATGTTATATTTCTCTAGTCTACAGTGAGGTATTCTATAGTGAGTACAGCCCTGTTTGGGTTTGCTATATGTATCCCATTGTTTGCTAGTGAAACCCCTCTTCTGCTGTTCTCATTCGTTCTTTCCTCTAGACAAGAACCTAGGCTAGGGTTTCTCCTAAGCCTAGGTATGTCTACTATTTCGTTTTTTCTTCCCGCCACGCGCCCTACGCGCCGTGCACCCTGGGCGCGCGCGGCGGTTTCGTCGTCCGTCGCGGCGCCCCCAGGGACCCGTGCGCGGCTCCCCGTCGCCCGTCGCGGTGCCTCCGTCGACCCTCGCGTCCATCCCTGTCGACCCGTGCGCTCCCCCCCGTCGTCCATTGCGGCGCCCCCCGGGACCCGCACGCGACTCCCCGTCCCCCTTCGCGGCGCCCCCGTCGACCCGCGCGCCGCCCCCGGGGACCCGCGCACCCGTCCCCGTCAACCCGCGCGCCCCCCACGTGGACCCGCGCATCGCCCCCGGGGACCCGCGCGCAGCCTCCTCCCCGCCCCCCCCCCCCTGCCTCCCTGCTGCGCGTGCAGTCGTGGGGTGGCGGGTATGGGGGTGGCTGGTATGGGGGTGGCGGGTGTGTGAGCCGTACCCTACTCCTCCTCCTCCGTCTCCCACTGCTGCAGCTGCCGCTGAGGGGGTTGGATGTGTGGGAGCCGTGGGAGTAGCGCTAGGGGGGTGCCGTGGGAGTGGAGCTAGGGGTGCATAGGGGGGTGTGTGCAAAGGGGTCTGCGACAGTGGGGGAGGTTGAACGGAGGTAGCCGTTGTGGAGCCAGCAGCGCTAGTAGTCCGGATGCCCTTACTCATGTCCGGTAGCCAGTGAGCCCGTTGCATCAGTCGTCCGTGGGTCCGTTGCTCCAGCCACTCGTCTTAGCCGCGGAGCCAGTTACCCCAGTAGTCGGGATGCCCCTGTTCGTGTCCGGTAGCCCGTGTGCCAGTTGCTCCAGTAGCCCGTGTGCCAGCAGCTTCAGCCGCCGCCTCCAATCTCCTCTCCTCTCACAGTCCCTCCTCCTCCTCACTAGTCTTCTATG